CCTCCCCCTTCACACACACACCGTCCCCCACGTGGCCAGCACACTCCGCCCGCCAGCATCGCATCGGCAGTAGGGCCCGCTGCTAATAGACTAGTAAAAGACACCCGTCATTGACGAGCCGTGCAGACACGAGCCGACGGCTCGTCGATGCCTCAAAAGAAAGCACCCCCCCTCCCCCCACAGCGGCGATACACATACATCTGCCACCCAGGCCCGGACTGGCCCGGGCGGGGAACGGCAAAAATCCGTGTGGGCCACGGGGCCAACGGGGGCCGGGGTCCACGCGAAGCGTGGCCGGAGGCCACGAGAGGTGTGGCCCGAGGCAACGCGAAGCGTGGCTATGTGTAGCCACGCGAAGCACATTTTATTCGCTGTTCAGGCCAAACACACTTTTTGACCTCCAAACAGGGTGTTTTGACCCAAAATTTTTCGCGCTCGCTTCGCTCGCGATCTTCTTCTGCGGTAAGGCTACTTACGGGTTCCGGCAAGCACGCTAAAATGTAGGGGGGAGGGTGGGGGGTTGGTTTGTTACTGTACTTCAACAGAAACAGTGCTTAAACCTCAGGGAAATTCTGTAAGAAAGGGCCTAGAAATCAGGGAAAGCTAAGGGAAAATGGAAAATGGACACGCAAAATTAACGTCAACTTAAATCGGTGAACAGGCAGGCTTTTCAGGGCAGAAAAAAAATTTCTTTGGTATTTGTAAAAATTCCCCTCCCCCCCAAATACCCTGAGGGGGGGGGGGGGCACTGGTCAGAGCTGCCGTGGGGGCCAAATACCCCCCAGTCCGGGCCTGCTGCCACCCGTCGGCTACATGGCCGTCAGTCGTCACGTAACGCTAGTAGCTAGACGAACTAGACGCGGGTCGACACGCCGTATCGCTAGACGCACCTGCAGTGGCATTATTGTATCGTTAGGCCGACTACGAATAAGCCGCGGCCTTCCCCTATGGGCCGCATCGGTTAGACCCCCAAGGACTCTCTCTAAGCGTCCGTCACACACCCGCTCGAGGAACAAGACGGACGGCCGCGAGCCAGTGGCGGATTAAGGTCCGGCTGACAGGGGGGGCGATGCACTGTCGGTTGCCTACATACAGGGGTTTTGTGGCGCGAATTGCCTACCTTTCAGGCGGCTCTCTAGAGGCGATGGGGGGGGCGATCGCCCCCCCGCCCCCCCCCTTAATCCGCGCCTGCCGCGAGCGGCGCCAGAGCGGAGCGGCATAGGCTGTTTGCGCAGCGCGACAATAAACGTCCTTTGCGTTGTCTCACTCGCCTCCTAATGGACCGTAGTCTACTTGCAACACATGGAGGGGGGGGGGGGTAGTAATGGCATTATGCAGGAACCAAAAAACAAAAAAAAACAAAAAAAAAAAACAAAAAAAAAAACAAACATTAGAGGGTGCCGCCTACAAACTTGAGGTAACCAACAAATAAGTAGTACTGAAAACTGTAAGGGAACAGCGATCTTCTGAAAGTGAAAGAAGGGCAAATATTAGCATGTTCCTTCTTTCTCTTGGACAAAAGGCAAAAAGGGGGCGCTGGCCAGCCTTGCCTTCCCTTGACCCACATCCACCTGGACGGAGCCAAGGGGGTGGAGGCGGCGGCAGGGGAGTAGAAGAGGGCGACGGGAGGGGGAGGGGGCGGGAGGAGGTCGTCAACATCCCAGCTATAGCGCTCCCATCTCATGTCCAGGGCTCCCATAAGAGAGGAGGGGGGGGGGCAAGGGCTAGGGTCGACGTGCCAAGAGTACTTGCTAATTCGGCTAAAAGAGGGTTCTTGGGGAGGAAGGCAAGGGGTAGCGTACTCGCGCCCCCCCCCCCCCTCACCTTGGTCTTGGACTGTGGGTCCCGGTGTGATGCCGCGCCTGGCAGAGTCGTCGCCGGGCGGCATGACAGCAGCTCAGCAGCTCTGCTCTGCCACCTCCCCTCTGTACACTCTCGTCCAAAAGGAGGCGCAAAGATCCTGGCCGCGGTAAAAATCGAGCCGAGGGATACGAGCTCACGCGACTCATGCGGCAGCAGAAGCAACACCAGACTGTCACTATGGTCGGGCCGTGTCAACGACCGTGCCAACGACGCGGGGCGGCAGCGCGACACCTGCACTACACAAACAACGGCGTGTCCGTCCTCCACGGGGTCCCATTGAGTACTTAACGAAAAGTCGGCGCTGTCCCAGGCGCCGGGGCTGAGGGCCTTCCATCCCAGACGGCTGAGCCACGCTCCCTTCAGGCCTTCAGCCATGGTAAGTACACGGTGCTCTGACACTACTGACACTGACGGGATAGACACCTCTGTCCAAATGTGGCCCACTGTGTTGACGCGCGCGTCCCGTCGTGCCGCTGCTGACCGTCTGCTGTCGACAGTCCGTCCGACCCAAGCTCACCTCCCCCGACCCCACCTCCCCCGACCCGTCGTCGCGCGCCGGGGTCGGGGCGTTTAGTTCAGAACTCTCTGTGGCTCACTCGGCTATCGCGCTCACGGTACCAAAAATAGTGAAAACAAGAAGGGTTTTTGGCATATGCAACATTTGGTAAACACATTAAAACGCAGTGCTCAGAGCTAAGGGACCTCATCAAACAGATTACACGTAAAGATTAAAACCACAATTCAGACTGCTTTTTTTCTCTTTTTGAAAGAAAACGACAACAATTTCATGAGTGAATTGAGTAAATATGCTGACTCACCTTAGGTAAGTTGGACCTCAATAAAGTGCTCGCTTAAAGCTAGTGGCCAAAATACCGCAAGTTCTTGTTCTCAGCATACACCACCGTGGAGAACTGAAGATGAAGTTGCGTCAGCTGGAATGTGTGATAGAAATGAAAATTAATGCTATTATTAATAATAAAGTTTAACATTTTAAATGAGGGTAGGTGAAATTGTAAGCTTATAACAATATGACTTTTAGTACAACTGATTAACTACATCCTGAATATTGATTACCAGTGTACATTCTATAGAGAAATTTCCATTAAAACCATTTGTGACAGGTTGAAAGAGATAAAACAGGAAAAGATATCTGCTTTCCCAGACATAGCAATGAATCACAACCAACCAGTCTAAGGCCTTTGACAACCACTGGATATGCCTAGATTAGTTTAACTCATAGAAACAAGGCCCAGATGACAGTCCTCGAGGTCTAGAGCAAGAAAATTAAGATAGATGGTATTTCCTATTCATCTTTTCGAGGACGAGGCTAATACTAACCTTACTTCATTCAAACCAGGCTAGGCTGATGGGTCTTCTAAAAAGGCGCTGCAGAATTCCTGGAATAACGTTGTGAGGAGTTGACTTCTATGGGCAAGATCGTGGTTGGCCTATATGTCATACTTCAAAAACGTATCAGATCGTCAAATCATTAAAATGTCTACAGGAACGAATCATGTTCACGAAGAATAAAATATATTATTAAACAACTCTAAAGCTACACAGCATTCACTTCAGCAGACGACGGTTATTGTTAGTCAATTGTCGGGGTAGGAAACAGTACAACAAATTTTAAAGGCTACTTTTTGGTAAGACATACTCTTAATACTGCATCAATTTTATTGAATTAGCTACAAATAAAATGCTGAATTGTTCCAACACTTCAAGTGCAACAAGGAAACGAATTGGATTTCTAAAGTTCCAAACAGTTCAGTTTTTTATGGTGGTACACAACGACGTCCTTTTGTTGTAAATAATCGTTGGTTTTGTGCGCATAGTGTTCCCCAGTTTTTCAGGCCTTCCAATCCAACGGATGACAATTCAGAATTAAGTCAACCACAGTAAAACACTTGATCATAACATTCTCACTAGCAGAAACTGTCTTGGTCTTAATTTGGAGTTCAACTGACAAGCGCGTGGAGTCAAGTTTACAAGTAATCTTGTAGCATTCGTGTGGCACTCCCCATGTTGTTGACCGCCATGACAATCTGTGCATAAAGCTGTTATCCTAGAGAAATTTAGATGTGTTTGCACAGCGATGAAGACGTTGAGAATTTGAAGCTATTTATTTGGTGGGCGATTTGTGACATCATTCTGGTGTAGAATTTAATGGAGAAGTCGACAACCCATACTCAAAATGGCGACAATGAGAACCTTAAGCAAAAATTTACCTTACTTTCAACAACAGTTTTGTGCACTTTTAGGTAACATTAGTGCACCAGTTAAGGTTATGAGCATAGTTGTTTTGTTTGGATATTTTTTATCATTTTCTCAAGAAGCTGTAAACGTTTTGAGTGTGAGGCCTGGTTACATATTTCCACCTGCCTTCTGGATATGGACCGCATTCACCTTTTGCTTTTTAGAGTTGCATTGGTGGGAAGTTTTAGTTGACATTGTAACTGTCGGTTTGTGTGGAAAACTTATTGAACCATTATGGAGCTCCACCGAAATGGTGACATTCTTTGGAATTGTCAACCTGGGTGTGGCACTTGTCAGCGCCTTCTTCTACCTGATTCTGTACATGTGTACATCGGACACTGTTCTGCTCTTTGATATCCACATTCATGGAATGGCTGGATACATCGCTGGAGTTGCAGTTGCAGTCAAGCAAATTATGCCCGATCATATTCTTGTGAAGACTCCCCTGGGAAAGATGACCAATCGTAATGTCCCTTTGAACGTCTTCTTGGCATCACTTGTTTTGTGGCTGATTGGACTACTTGAAGGAACATATCCAACCATGTTTGCGTCTGGTGTCCTAGTAAGTTGGACATATCTGAGATTTTATCAGTGGCATAGCAATGGTTCCAAAGGTGATATGGCAGATAATTTTACATTTGCAAGGTACTTTGACATCATACATCAGCTTAATTTATTACTTAAATAATCATGATCTGTAATAAGTTATCCCCATTCCTTCCAGCTTCTTTCCAACAGTTCTACAACCACCAATTTCTGTGTTCAGTAATACTGTGCATAGTTTCCTAGTACGAATACGACTGTGTCGCCGAACAGTTCGGAAATTTGACATGGCTGCAGCTCCTACAGGGGTTACCGTGGCTTTGCCTGGTATCGATCCACATGACATGGAAAGACGAAGGTAAACTCACCCTTTCAACTTATTTACATTTTGCTTGATGTCCTTTTTCTATTATTATTAATCTAATTCTTATTTTATTCTAGATTAATAGCCATTAAGGCCCTAAATGAACGTCTTGGGAAGACAGACTCATCAGTTCCAGGTCTTGCTGGAATTCCCCGTCCATCTCAAAAGGACCGTTCAAAAATTGCCACTTCACCTGTCCCTACTGTCTCTCCTCCGAGCTCAGTTGTTTCAATTCCAATGCCTTCATCTTCAGAAAGCCACAATATTACTCCACCATTTACTTCTCCTTCAGCACTTCCTGTCCAGTCAGCTATTGTTGATGTCAGTGGCAGTCCATCAACGTGACAATTTTAGTATAGCTTGAAAGAGAAATATTTTTCTTTACCTTTGGAATTAATTGACAGTTGAGTCTATACAAATGAGAGTTTTTCAAATGCAAAGTTTTTCTCATTTTTTAAGATATGTACTGTCACTTGTTCTCTGTAAGACTGGACCGACTGAGCAAAGTGACATCATACTGAGTCATTCCTTCTTAGGAAGTCTTTGTGATAAATGTTTATAATTGTATGTCTAAACTAGTTCTGTATAATATTTTAGTTTCTTTATTTTTTGTCATTACCCTCCTTACTTTCAGTGTTACCTGTTGTTGTTGTTTAAGAGAACATATTAATGCACCTACATTTGAGAAACAAATAATGGTTAACTCAATGGAGATTTCAATGTATTTGGGTCTTACAATTAAACTATGACCTCCAGTAAAAATAATAGGGCTATATGCTTGAATCTAAGGAGATAGAAACAAATCAAAAGAGAAATCCCGTTTTTGTCATTTCCCTATTATGTGGTTTACAGCATCAGTATCACACAGCTAAAAGTAACTCACTCCTTATTTGTTAATTGAGTTAATAAATACTTATAAGGAAGAGTTTAAAGCATAGAGATAAAAAGAGTGACGTTTGATGTTTTTTATATTATATTTCAGACACATGTAAAATAACTTAAAAATGTGTTTTTTTTTTGTTGTAAAGTTCATCTTTTTAATACCTGTTGCCATGTCAACTAAATTTTAATTATCTGTGTTGAATTTTGAGTGAGGTTGTACATATTCTGTTCAGAGGATTTATAAAAGCACCTGCAGTAAGTTGGAGCTTAATAGTCGGTGCTTCCTTAATTTGGATGTGTGATTTGAATTGGCAGCACACCATTCTTCCACTTTACCAATCTATTTCTCATCCTAGGTCTAATTACTGGTGGTTTCATCCTGGTAATATTTGAGGCATAAAATTAGCATTAACAACTAATGCAAACTTTAACCAAGGGGCTTACTCCTTACTCATCTCTCTGAGGAAGCTTATGTTCTCAAAACGTGGCTTCGGAAACAATAAAATTTTGTTTTGAAACTTATCAAATTTAGGACTCTATGAGAAGACAATAGTCGAGGTTAAAGACAACAACCAACAGTTTAATAGTCAAATACATCATCAGGACTGACATATTAATTTGGTACTGGAGTTAAAAAATTACAATGTGCACAACATTTCAATAATATTCTTATATTTTACATCAGTAAGCACCTTATACACCTATTCAGGGCAAATATGGTATAAAAATTATATTTGCTTGTTACCTGGGGTGGGTCATTTTGATAATAGAATGGTAAACAATAAATATGACTTGAGCATTAAATCCCTTTCCTCAAGGGGTCTTCCAACAACCACATTTAAAACCAGAGCCCTACATCGGCACATACACCCATATAGAGCTCTGGTTTAGACACAGGAAAGAGAACTAAGTAGTTGATCATAACACACAAGGATCAAAAGAAACAAAAATTTCTATTTTAACAGGCTGTGGCCTGCACAGCCGCTAAGTCAGACACTATTTAATACAGACCCCAGAAAATAATAAGCCATAAACATACATCAAATAAACATTGTACAAAAGTGAGAAAAGTAAAACTTATCTTTCTGGGTATCAGTCAAGAAAAATTAACATTCTTACATGAGTACAGTACTTGTACAGATTGGACTAATAAATCAAATGCCCCAGTCGGGACATATTTCATCAAGTACAAATAAAGTTTGCTCACAAAATTATTAAACTCATTAGTCTACCCGGTAATTTTGAAGTACACATAATTCTGTCATGGTAGCAGTTCAAAACTATACCGAGTAGCTCTCTTCATGTAACAGCATCTCTTAGATGACTCAGCAGAAAATATTATCGATAATATGTAGGTGGGGGGTTACTTGAATTCATTTGCCACTGTTGTCCATGAGCTACTGGCGGTGGTGTCCGATATTGATTATCATGGTATTGTGGTGGTCGAACAGACATACTGGGAGGAGGCACGCCAGGTGGAGGCACACCAGGAGCTACTCCCTGAGACACTGCACCTGGGGGAACACCTTGAGCCACTGCTTGAGGGACATAAGGTGGTTGCACAGCAGTGGCGTAAGTCACTGGAGGGTAATAGCTAGGTGGGGGCTGGTGAGGGGGCACAGCATACCCAGAGTGGGCATACTGTGTGGGTGGAGGCTGGCTGTAGTGATGATGATAAGTAGTTGGGGGCATCTCCACATCCTGGATTGGTACTGTAATAAGGTTGGTTCTCATACTGTTCTGCGTAGGCGGTGGAGCTGACTGTGGATAACCAGGAGGTGCAACAATCATAGGTGGTCTATGTTGCATGGGAGCATACGGAGGAGGTGGTGGAGGTGGGGGAGAAGGGCCACCTCGGTTTCGATGATGATTGACATCCTGAAAATATAATGAAAGAGACGAAAGTTAAACAGCTTAACAGGAAAGTGAAAAATTTACAATTTTATAAGTTGAATAAACTTACCGAGCCTCTGGAATCAGACTTCCCTCTGGACTGGGGTGGTGCTGCAGAATGCGGCACTGAATGAGATGAATGGGACACAGGGTGAGAGTGGGACATGGCATGAGGAGGAGGGTGTGAAAGCGAATGGGGAGGCGGGTGGGAATGTGATGAGGGGTGAGGAACTGTGTGAAGTGGAGGGTGCGAGACAGAGTGGTTAGGGTGAGGCACAGAATGGGACAAGGAGTGAGATGGAGGATGGGACAGGGAATGAGAGGAATGAGTGACAGTATGGGGGGGAGGATGAGGAGGGGGATGAGAAGGGTGAGAAACAGCATGTGAAGAGGGGTGAGAGCTTTGATGTGATACAGAGTGAGAAATAGAATGATGAACAGGATGTGAGCTTGGAGACCTTCCAGTCATAAGCTTTTCCAAACCAGATGTTTCTTTCAAATGAGAATTGAACTGGGAATTATTTAGGTCTGAAGATTGAACTGTGTGCCGATGGTTAATATGGGCATGTAAGTCCCTCTGAGAAAGGTATGTGCGTCGGCAACCCACAACTCCATACCTTGAGCCACCATGAACACACATGAAAACAGTTCCAAGTCCTACTTGTTCCACACGATGGACCTTGTCATTACAACGAGGGCAAATTTTCTCCTCATGTTTAGCACATTTCAGACAAAATACATGTTTACAAGGAATCTGAAAAATGAATGGTAAAATTAGTAATATTTTGAGAATTTTTTTCTAAATATGATAAAAAAAATTCTTTCTTTTTTACAAGATGGAGTACTTACCATCCGTCCATAGATAAGAATAGGTTTGTTACATTGATCACAACAGTGAATCATTGGATTGAGTACTTTTTCTCCTACAAGATTAACTCGATGATCCCAGTTAAGACGAAGCATTGGTTCTGGTGGTCCTCTATTAAGAGTAGTAAAAGTAGGTGGCTCTAACAGAGATATATCAGCTTCCATGTCCACAGTAGCTATTGAAAGCAAATAAAATACAATTAACAGGAAAACTTGTGAATCAGAATATTATGACATTTGTTCCATCATAGATAGGTAAAATATCTTACAGCGTTGCTGTTCTTGACCTTGCCCAGGCCCAGGCCCAGGTCCTGGTACTTGTTTCTTCACAGGCTGCTCATCAACTTCTTCCATTTCCTCTCCTGACGGCACTGGCATATCTTCTTCATCACTTTCAATAGTCTGGAGAATGAATGAAATTGCATTTTAGATACACACCCTGACCAACAAATTGTTGAAATGCTTCAAGATTAGAACCTTCGTTGCCTTCTTGTTTCTGCTTCGTCCCCTGCCACCTCGACCTCGTCCTCTCCCTCTGGCTCGACGATTTGCACGATTTCCACGCATCTAGGAGATAAAAAGTCATGGAAGTAAGTACACAGATAAGTGACAACTTGGCCAATGTCAACACAGCCAAGACGAAACCGGCATTATATCGGGATCTAGAGAGCATGTATTCCTAACGGTGACTTATAGTTTAATTGACATTGTAATAAACAATTTATTCGTACAATATTTTCATTAAAAAACGAGATAGAATGTGTAATACAATTTGACAATCTTCCAGTGGAAATCATAGTGGCACCTCAGCTCAGGTTACACGGAAAGGGTTCTCATAGACTCTGTTCAGTGGTTTCCAAAAACTTAAAGAAACAATCATGGATAGTCGAATAAAAATACTCACAGTTAAAATGCAGGCAAAGGGCTTTCCTTGGGGGAAATTTCTTATCAAAATAAACAGCACAACTTGTACACGTCCATAACCTCTTCTCGACCCACGACCGGTTACGAGCCAGCCAACATGCACACACAAAAACAAAAGCGGATCGTTCAGTAGACAAATGTAAAAAATAGTAGCGTATCTAGAGCCAATGTCAAGTGTAAAAATAAACTGTTAATTTGGCTAAAGTTTAAAATTTGGTTTTTCATGTTCTGGTTCGTGTCTGCAGAGTCAGTATTTTATTTTTTTACAAAATTTAAACGTCTTCCCTGCTGATAAGTTGTCTGCTGTTTTCAGGTTTTTGTGTTGTTTATAACCTCAAAAACTTTTAGTCGATTTGACTATTCAATCCTGTTCGCTTGTACAGTGACGTGTGACGGTCTTATCGAACCAAGACAGATGTGAGGCATTCGATTTAAACCTTCTTCCGTATCGCCCCCATAACCCAAAAATGGCTGGCATGAGACCGGTGTTTTTGAAACCTAAGGACGATGATTTATACCAAGAGGACAAGACCGACTTGGATACGGACCAAACGACAGCTTTCATCTACAATCCTAACCTGTCGCTTCCACTAGAACAGCACCGGCAAAGGCTCCCCGTCTACAAAAATCGTGATCACATCTTATATTTACTGGAACAGCATCAAACAGTAGTGTTGGTTGGGGAAACAGGTTGTGGTAAAAGTACACAAATTCCTCAGTATTTGTATGAAGCAGGATGGTGTGCAGATGGCAAAATTGTTGGGATTACCGAGCCGAGACGAGTAGCTGCTACCACTCTTGCTAACAGAGTTGCCGATGAAAAGGGCACTCCTCTTGGTGCGGTTGTAGGATATTCAATACGTTTTGATGATGCCTTTGACCCTCTGAACACGAAGATAAAGTACATGACCGAGGGTATTTTGCTCCGTGAAATGATGGCTGATCCTTTGTTAAGAAATTACTGTTGCATAGTTCTTGACGAAGTTCATGAACGAACCCTCCTGACTGATACCATAATGGGTCTACTGAAAAAGATCCTCCAGAAGAGACGTTCATTGAAATTAATAGTTGCATCTGCAACTGTAGATGCTGAGCAACTTAGGGACTTTTTTAATTTTAATTCCAATAAGGATTCCATGAAAGACTCAGCTGTGATTATTAGTGTTCAAGGCAGGCTCTATCCTGTTGAAGTGTTTTATAGCCAAGAACCTGTACCTGACTATGTTAAGGGATCTGTAGACACAGCAATGAAGATACATGATAATGAGCCAAAAGGAGACATTTTAATTTTTCTGACTGGCCATGAAGAAGTGGATCGTGCAATATCTCTTCTCAAAGAACATGCTGTACAAAACAAAAATAATGAATTGAAGTTATTACCGTTGCCTATGTATGGCTCTCTGCCTTATGGTGATCAACTTAAAGTTTTTCGTCCAACACCCAGAGGTCTGAGGAAAGTAGTTGTCGCAACAAATATAGCTGAAACATCTATCACTATATCTGGAATTGTGTATGTAATAGACTGTGGGTTTATGAAATTACGTTGGTTTAATCCAGAGACCCAAGTTGACTCACTGGTGCTTGTTCCAACATCTCAAGCCTCAGCTGATCAGCGAGCTGGGCGAGCAGGCCGTGTCAGGTCTGGAAAATGTTATAGGCTGTATAAAGAGGAAGAATTTGAAAAACTTAGCGCTGCTACCCCTCCAGAAATGCAGAGAACTGAATTATCTGGGGCTATATTGCAGCTAAAAGCTCTAGGAATAAACAATGTTTTAAGGTTTAATTTTCCATCTCCACCCCCTGCAAAAAACCTTCTGTCTGGCCTGGAGTTGTTGTATGCTTTAAATGCTATTGATGACAGTGGACAATTAACTGACCCTCTTGGAGTGCGTATGGCAGAATTTCCAGTTTCACCTCTTCATTCTAAAACACTTATCTCATCTGGAGAGTTTGGATGTGCAGAGGAAATGGCTTCAATAATGGCTGCATTGCAGGTTCAGAATATTTTTACAAAACCTGGTGGGGGCCAAGCTGCTATCAGAGCACGTATTGCTCATAGGAAGTTTGAAGTAGCTGAAGGAGATATGTTAACTTTACTGAATGTAGTCACAGGCTTCTTGAAACAAGAAAAACAACGCTCAAAGTCATGGTGTCATGAGAATTTTTTAAACTATAAAGCTCTTCGAAGAGTGGAGCAAATAAGGAAACAAATTCTTAAGCTTCTATCAAAGTTCAAGATCCCAATAGAATCATGCAGCGGTAGATCTGAAGTTGTGTGTAGATGTATTACGGCTGGGCTTTTCCCTAATGCTGCCTATTTACATCACTCAGGTGTGTATCGAACTGTCCGAGGGGGTCAAGAGCTATACATTCACCCTAGCTCAGTTTTGTACACCCTAGAACAGCCTCAGTGGATCCTATTTAATGAAATAATGAGTACAAATCGTGCCTACATGAGAGAGATAACTGTAGTTCACCCAGATTGGTTGGAGGAACTGGCTCCACATTTTTACCAAAAAAGATTTGATCGGGACTGATGTTTATGATGTGGAAAATCTGTAAAAAAAACTAGTGATTCAAACTGTTACATTACCTAAATTGTGATTTTCAATGTAATTCTTTGATTTTCATTGAATTTTGTACCAAGAATGTTGTAGAAAAAACGTATTGAAGTATGCGTAAAAATCTTGTCAAAGGTGCTCTATACCATACTACTGAATAAACTGGTCATTTATTGTACATGTGATTGTTTATTTTTTATTTTTATCACAGTCTATAGTTCGAGAAGAAAAACAAAAGCAAGCCTATTTAAAAAAAATTAAAAATAATGTCATCTGTTGCAACCAGAAGAGTATCCTGACACTGACTCGGCTCACCCAGTGAGAAATGCATATCGAAACGATGTCGATTCGACCAGTTTTTCATCGTTCCGATGCACTGTGAAAAATATATTTGTACATGTACGATATATTTTGTAATTTGCCATTTACAATACGAGTCGTACATGTACAACCTCCCACTATCGCTAGATATTCGATTCCAAGTCGATACATAGGGCTAGTAAATTGTACAGTGGACTCTCGATAACTGTCGCCGCGACAGTTATCGAGGGTACTGTGCGTTCGCTGCTGCCGTGCTCCGCT